GCCGTGCCCTCCAGAGAGCCCGGCCCCAGAGGGCAGCCCAGGCCACATGGCTTTTCCCCGCGGCTCCGGCAGCCCTGACGCCGCCGTGTGCCCTCCCTTCCAGTGCCGGCAAGATGAGGCCTCCCTCACCCTGCTTCTGCATGTGCCCGGCATCCAGCCTCAGAGCCTCAGCGGGGATGTGGGCACGAACCACTACAGCCTCCACTTTTCCAGTGATGCTGGCGCCTATGCACTCTTCTTACAGTTTCCTCCCGCAAACAGGCTGGCATCCCCCGAGACCAGCATTAGCGTGTCTGCCCACAACGCTGCAATCAGGCTCACCAAGGCCCCCGGCAGCACTGAGCCCTGGGAGAAGTTCTGCTTCGGCCTCGACGCCTCCACTCTGCAGGTAACAGCTTCCAACTGGCAGGGTTGGTGCGTCACACTACCCAGAGTGCCACCGCTTTGCTGCAGTGTGTGACGTCTGCTGTTGGGATTCATTTATGAATGATGTCTCGGGGAGCTGTTAGGTTATCTGTCTGAGTTCAGAAGATGTTGGTAGTAATGGAAACCGCTTCTCGGAGAGCGCCGTTACTGGATGTGAGCGGAACGACCTAATTAGTGCTAGTCTTGTAGGAGCAGTATGAAGGTCATGTCGCAGAGCTGACGTCTTCGTCCTTGGAATTGAACTGACTTCTGCCTCCTGTGCTAATTCTTTTCTGAGGGAAATTCTGATGATGAGTGAAAACAGAGCCTGCCCTGTGTCCTTAGCGTTAGCTTTTAAAGCCATGTAAATTGTTCTTGTAGCATGTTCACATGAGGAAAGGAGATGTTTGTAATACACCAGACATACACACATGTATATAGTGTCATGAAATGCAGACATGTGAGTGGCATGTACCTGTATCTGTAGATCAGGACAGAGCTCCTATTTACAGCAACGGGAACACCCATTAGTTCAACCAGAGTAGTACAGCAAACTAGAACTGTGAGCTGCGGTTGACTGCCATTTTGCTGGGCTATTTCTTCATCTTTATACCAGTCTGAATATGATTCTAGTTTAGGTGTTTTATTATTTTATGGGTCGTTAGGCAGTGATGCTCCCTGTAGCAAGGGAGGTTGGCACTCCTGCTGCATCTCGCTGACAGTGCCTTCTGAGAACTGGCAGTGTCCCTGCAAAGGGATTGCTCACCTTGGGGCACTCTTGCTGTCAAGAAGCACTCACACAAGTTTTCCAGAGAACTATGTTATTCTGTAAGATGAGAGTTTCAAATAACTTATCATGAGCAGGGAGTAAGACTGCACAATTCTTGTGTAACCTTTCAGCCATGTGATTTGGAGTTTGTCTTTAGAACAATAAAGTCCTTTGCAGTTTGGATCATGTACCATGGGAGTGCAAGTCCAGAAAGCGGGCAGGCTTAAATTATATCCACTGGGATGATGGTTTTGGAATATCTTAATTGCTCCATCCCTACAATCAGAAAATACTTCATGCTTCTGAGAGAGATTTATCTGGTTAGTATTTGTGCAGCTGAATCTTCACATTTTATTTCCCATTTAGCAGGCTGCATACCTTTTCTGTGATAGCTCCTCTGAAGGAGGAGCTGATAATTTCAGGTAAGTATCGAAGACAATTAATTTATTGAGAACCACCTAGGGTGAACTGTTTGCAGTGGATTTCCTTCACTTTTACTGGAGCAGGAGCCCGCAAGGCTGTGCAAGCGGGGCCACGAAACGTTCAGCACTACTGTTAATTGGTGCGATCAAGTACTGGGTGCCGATGTAACATCAAATAAGCCATTGTGCGAATTACTGCCTGTTTTCTGTATAGGTACAGAAGGTGTGGGGTAGGAACTACAGGCACTTTATCCACTTTTTCAGATACTCTGAATATCCGTCTCTTTAATCATGCGTTTTGGTGTCTGCACTTGCTTGTTGTCTTATGGCGTGCAGACCGAAGTGCAGGTTTTAAGGGAAAACAACAGCTTTCTGTGACTCTACATGGGGATATACCTGAAAATTCAGTTTGGGAACAGGAAATTCTGCTGCAGTATCTCTTTAGTACTGTGATTGATGGACATTTCTGCATGCTTTGCTCTCAGTCTAACGATTGAAAGTGCTTGGTATGTGCATTCTTTATTATGTTTGGGGGAACATCTTTTGATTGAAAGTTGTTAAAACGGCATGCAGTAATGGGATTTTGGTCGATATTACTTTTTTTTGAATTAAAAAAAATCTTTGAATGTGCTGAATTCATTATATATTGCAAAATGTTTTGGGTGGAGTAGGAGGAGGAGATTTGGCATTAGTCATAGGCCTCCCAGCCATTCATTCATGTCGCAGACTAGAAAGGATTGATTTCTTCTGGGGTGCAGTCCTTTTGGATAACGGGCCTGCAAATTGCAGCAGCTGAAATAATCTGAAGTCATTTGTTCTGTTTGCTTTTTTTAACTGTTGTATTTCCCAAAAGTGCCTGTGCCAGGGCTGATAGCTGCAGTCACTCAGAGTGGAGTGAGAAAAATTAATATTTAATTAGAGCTACTATTATATGCTGTCTTCTGTCCGTTAAGTATTTGCTCGTGGTAGCTTCTCTTCTACTTATGTTGATTTCTTCAATTTGTCTGCTGTCTTCTCTGCTGTTTTTCTGCTTTGAATCTCTTTCTATAAATCAGAGCTATGGTTCTTGCATTGAGATCTGCAAGGAGTTGCATCAGTCATAGAAGAGTGTTTTAGGAACACACACAGTAGCAAGCACCCTATTTAATTACTTTAGAGAGCTTTCAGTGGCCTAGGTGAGCAGGAATTTTATGGTGTGCTTTCCAGTCATGCTGATGTCTGCTTGTTTGTAATCTCCTCTCCCACAGTAGCATTGCCAGAAGATAAGTGTGTGGCAAAAGTAGAGGCCAGTGTTTCTTACAGATACGATACTCCTATTCTGCTGTCTTCTGGGAAGTTGTTTCTTACTGGACACCAAGGATTTCTGTGTTGTTTCAGGGAACAGATTCCTCACTGGGTTAGTTACTTCAGAAATCTGACCAACTTGGTGATAGCTTGTGCTACAGTAGCTGTTATAGTACCTTGATACACTGCCTGCGTAATTCACAGAATCATAGAACAGTTTAGATTGGAAGGGACCTTTAAAGGTCATCTCGTCCAACCCCGCTGCAGTGAGCAGGGACATCTTCGACTAAAGCAGATGGATGGTTCCAGGGATAGGGCATCTACCACCTCTCTGGGCAACCTGGGCCTCATTGTGAAAAATATTTTCCTTATACCTAGTTGAAATCTGCCCTCTTTTAGTTTAAAACCATTACCCCTTGTCCTGTTGCAGCAGGCCCTGCTAAAAAGTCTGTCCCCATCTTTCTTATCAGCCTCCTTTAGGTCCTGGCAGGCTGCAATAAGGTCTCCCTGGAGCCTTCTCTTCTCCAGGCTGAACAACCCCAACTCTCTCAGCCTTTCTCACCAGTTGTCTGCCATTAACTTGCCAAACAGCTGGGAAAATGTGTTATGATAATTGTTCGCCGCATGAGCAGAATGCATCTTGGCAGCCTCGTCTCTGGACTATGATGTAGTGCAGCGTGGATTGCCTGATTTTGATTGCCTGTGCACCTCTGCCCAGATCAACACGTACGATAACGGTGCCGGTAATTGTGGAGCCCTGCCTTGCATGCTTGTGATGTTCCTGTTATCGCACTGGCCTCTCTTCTTGTTGGAAATTGTTCTGATACAGATATTGGTAGAAAAATGAGTTGAGTTTGTCCTTAGGACACCATTCTTGAAACAGAATTTCAGAGACTGGTTTTCCTTTTGTACACAGTTACGTTTCAATCCCTGTGCTGAAACATGATCTATTTAGAGCTCAGTTTCCATAGATGCTGAGCAGTCTGAATTCCCACCCCAGCAAGTGCTTATTTTCAGCAAGTCTTTAGAGTGCAACAGTCCTCCCTGGACTTTAACTGTGTCATTGCAAGTGTTCCTTTGTTTGGTAGTTCTTGATGTTGTGTTGGTTTTACCGCTTCCCCATACAATAGGTAGTCAGCTTTCTGCTGACTCTGAGCCCTAACTTTTTATCAGCGGATGCAGCCATTGCTTCTCTTTCTCTGAGTAGTTTTACTCCTTGGCTAAACCATAACGTCCGCACACTTGTTATGGTGAGCAGAAATCATATAAAAATAAAGATCCTGTGACTTTGGACTTTGTGGACCAGGGTCCCATATTTCAGGGGTTAAAAGTTACCTTTTGTCACTGCCCTTGGGCTCAATCACTGTACGAGAAACCACACAGTGTTAATCTTTCTGCAGGGCTCGCTCCAGGCCCTGTTTTTCCAGGGGAATAGAGACTTGCGACCTGAGAAAGTTGCCTTCACCCTCTGCTCGTTGCCTCGAAGGACCAGCTGTGGGCTGTGCTCCCTCTGTTACTCTTTATTGCAGCTCATCCACTAATGCCTCTGACATTTCTTACTTCCGTTTGTTTAAATCCTTGGAGCTGAGGCCTAGGAAACTCCTGCATCAGAGAGTTCCCTTTCATTCTGAGGCAGCGGAGCCTGGGGAGTACATGATGAAAAAGAATGGTTGAGAGTTAAATAACCATTAATAAAATTTGTAAGCCTGCCAGGCAAGGTTTCCGAGAACATGTCCCAGAATGTCCTGGTTTACGGCAGAGCTGGAGTTGGGAAATTACTGAAATCATGCCTTCGTAAAGCACCATCTTTTAATGTCTGGTCTCCTGGGGTTAAATGCTCAATTCCTAACAGAAATAAAAAACAGTTTTCTGGTGGGTGTATCTGAACTACTGAGACTTGGAGGCTTAGTTATACTAGCATGTGAAACATGTTTGGTAGATAATTAATTCTGCCTGCAGTTTTTGGGTCATATGTACTCATTTTCATGTGATTAGAAAAAGATTCGTTAAAGTAATAATTCCCTTTCATGCTGATCCACACCCTTCCTGCCCTTCTCAGTGAACTGAAATGACTTTGTTTAGAGAATGTGTGCTCACTCTCCTGATCAGTGCTTCCCTGCTGGGGTACCCCTCCCCGGGGAGGGAATCGCTGCAGTCAGCCTGTCCCTTTGGTAATAAAATCCCATGTTCTGATATGGAGAAAATTAAGATTTAACTCATGTAAACCCCCACAGGGCTTCAGAGAACAGCAGGGAGCAATGTTTCCTCCGCGTTACTATGCAGTGAGATTATGGTTTTTAAACATTTATGGTATGAAAAATATTATACTAAACATTCCTGATTAGTTCATGGTTTGAACTAAGCATGAACATGAGGGTTACTTAACATAGGTATCTAAAAGGAAATTGCATAGCGATATGAGAGCTTTGCTTAACTTCTGTGTGAATGTTGGTGCCTTCATGGAAGATGTTTTAGACAGGTGTGTTACTGAGCATAAAAAAAAGAGGT